GTGTTTGGAGATCAGTGGGGCATCTCGTATCCCTATTTTCAACAAAAGGGATTTCTCATCTCCTTACTGTATTTAATTAAAATTTTAGAAATTTATTTATTCCAAATGGCAAATGTTTTGATGGTTATCACTAGCCCTTTAGTTGACTTCAGGCTTCACAGAGGGGAAGGAGCATCAAAGTGAAAGAAAGTCGAAGGATCAGGGGGGGGGGGCAACAGAAGAGAGTTTCAAAGATGTAAAAGAGACAGACAGACACAAAGGCATAGAAAAGGTAAGACGAGTACTGTGGAAGTGGTAGAATGTGACATACAGTGGGGTGATGGTAGTTTGAAGTGAGAAGTCAATTGCCGGTTAACAGACTTTGTTGCCGTATGAGTATACGTTGCCCATGTCGCACCAAGTGGAGGCAAGTCTAACGTACACCCCAAGTTTTGGAAATATGAAGATGATGGCGATATCTTCACAAAATCTTTTAATTCCTTGCCTATCACAAAGCCAATTCAATCCGTTTTATAAAATGGTTGGATAAGATTGATAGAAAGTGACATCAACCAGTTTCCTGCCCAATATGCAACACCTTTCAATATTTCGAGTCAGTTTGGTTTGGAACAAAATGAACTAGAACTGCAAAACTTAAATAAACAGAAATCTTAACATTTCGGGATTGAACATTTCTAATTATGCTTTATTGTAAAGTTTGCGTCTTTCAAATCAACTCACATACTCGCCAAGATTCTCATTTACTTAACCAGACAGAATAGACACGAGTAATAATCTCGGTCATTAATTCGAAATCATCAACAACAGAATAGGAAATGATAAAAGTCTGTATTCACTTTTGCGTTTTCGTGCCTATGAGTCACCAGTTATTGTCTGCATCAATCTGCTTGAGGATCTGATTATTCTAACCTGTTTTTGATCATTCTTATAGTGAAATCCGAGTCACGGGCCAAAGTTCACTGGGATCACAGCTTAACAGAGCCAATGAATCTCAAATCGGAAGAGGGGCTTTACTATCACGTTGATTTTGAAGGTGTTCAACCATGCCTCTACCTTCTCACAGAGTTTGAAGATCATCGACTTAGAATGTGCATTCCAAATATCATTGAGAAAGTTAAAACGGAATTCGTATGATTACCCTCATTAATTCGAAAATCATTTGTCCCTTATGGCGTTCTAATTATATAATTTCTAAATTTAAATATGAAGGTATTTGCAATGGATCAAGTCCACTACCTTCTCCAGCGTCGAAAACCGGGTTCAGCACGTCATCGTCTGCGGCAGATCTTCCTATACAAAAGCAAGATCTTTCATAAAGCTGCCAATGACGTGCGTTCTTGCCGTGGCACAGCACCTAAGACTATGCTTGACCTCAGTTATTTACGTAGAGTCCGCTCTGATCTTTTGCGCATTGAAATCCTCTTGAAGAAAACTGGACGAAAACTTAATGGCTCCAATCTCTATGAAGCCATCAGAGAAGCTAATGGAGTTATTAGGCGACTTAATGAACTCATGGAATGCGTAGGTCATGAAAATACCACCCTCTACTTGTTTTAAAAATTTAAATTAGGTATCCATTTTCTGGATTTCAGCCGCAACACGGATTACCTGATATCTTCGTCTCCATGATCATGGACAATAAGAGAATAGGTTTCCTACGAATTCCATCTCGAGATATCTATCATTCAACATCAGATGCTGAGCGTGGAAAGCTAGCCTCACAAGTTACTACGCATTTCGTCCGAGTAAGCCGATATATAAAGAAACCCTGTTATTGAGATTCATTGATATATTCGGCTTGTGTTTCTCTCTTCAGAAACCAGGCCATGAAGGTGTTGGTGAAAAGGGTTGGCGAATTCAGTGTCAACTTCGACTGTACACTTGGTTAGGTCTAGTCAAGGATTATCTCTCCTATAAGAATGGTCTTCCTGAAGGATATGACCCCGATTGTGTCAGTGGAATTGATCCTCCAAAATCGCTCGTTTACGTCGGTAAATTAAAAGGAATTGTTTTGAACTTTCTCCTTCACATTCTACCCACTATCTTGCCTGCTCTTTCTGTCTAGATTCAAGTAAATTTGAGCTACGGTGCTATCTCTACTTGGCAAAGAATCTACTGGCTTCAAATAAGACTGGATTTTCCGATCCAATGGCTCGTGTATTGATTAACGATGAGTTATTGGAGACATTCCCAATCTATGATACTATGAGTCCTCTTTGGGATTTGACCTTGATAAAAACAAACATTACATTCTACCACAAACCAGAAGGTGTTTTGAACAATCCGCCACAGATTATTGTGGAAATTTTCGACGTCAATGCTCCAGTAAGAAAATATATCTCATGTTAGACCGTAGATTGCAGCATTAAACTAAATTTATTTCGTTAACATTAATACGCATAGCGGTATAAAAATACTTTTATCATTTGTTGAATGAGAAGTCTCCAACGAACAGTAGAATTTGAATGAATTTTATTGACCAGAATGTTTTATTTGGCATAAGTTTCCTTTGTATACTCCTCATATCGTTTTAATTTTTTATCTTTTAACCCATTTCAGCTCTTGGTAATTATAAATTATATAGTTATTTTAAATATATCGGACACCACCTCCCTCACTGCAAATCGAAAAACATTGCACTCTTAAAACATCAATAATTTGCTTCATTTTCATGCACAAATTAAGATTTCATAGATGTTCCCCATTTAATTCTGTCTCATTTTCAGCACTTGTTAGAATGCATATATTTCCCGCGGTTTGTAAAATACAAAACATCTATCCTTTCTAAATCACATATTAAATTGCGTTTAAAATTCTTTTCCATCCACTAGAATCGATCGGTGTTTAAGTAATTAGCTTCATTTTATATTCATTATCATCAAGGGTAATATAAAATCGATTTTCGGTGGGCTCATTTCATTCCCTTCGGCCAACTTCCCATCTACGTCCCAACCATTAATTTGAGCTCTAAACTAAAATCGATTATCCAGTTTTGTTTTCAGCTCGACTATCCTGAAACCCCCACTATCTCTCCCTCTCTCTCTCTCTCTCTTTTAGAAAGTCAACAAGAATCAGGAAGTGGTCAGTGCCTTTCATACAAATTTAATTTCTTTCTAACCGCGGGTGAAAAAATCAATAATTTCATTTAAACTCGTTTTGGATAATTAAAATGCCACTCATTAGCAAATTGGCAAAAAAGCCCAAGCATAAAAGTTAACTTTTTATGACATTCGTAAGAGAAATTTTTACATATTTTATACTAAGTTGAGTGACAGTTTGTGTGAGTTCTGCCGAATCACTCTTGGTAAACTCTTACTCAAGGAAGTATTGAGGCCACCTGCTTTCTTTAAATTAAGTAAAATTTGAAGGGTATAGATATTCCGACGATAAATTTGACTAGAATCACTAAATTCTAGACCGAAACACTTATATTTAAACCTTTGAGGTGTCAAGAAAACAGGTCCATCATCATTAATATTCATTCCAATTATTCTCATAACTATCATAAGTACGAACAAATTGATGATTGCTGTAGAGATTTATATACCTTTAAATACTTCTGTAATACACTTCGTTGAAACGTCTTTTGTACTTAAATAGGACTAAAGAGTCCAGAGACACTGATTAGTTGAAAGGTATTACAGAATTTCGTTAATGAACTCGTCAGGTGATTTTGCTTTTAACACTTTTAGCCCTATGTCCAACTAGTCGAAGCAGTTCTAGCAACTCCTCCAAAACCGAAAAAAGGCTTCATAATAGATGACTGTGGATAATCCTGATAGCCTCAATGAAATTCGAAAATAAATATTTAGGCCTGTTTATATATTATTCTGTTTGGGGATCAGGTTCTGTAACCTGAGTACTGGTTTTGAGTACCAATAATGATTGATATTTTCTCATCGACTGATGAGTCATCGGCGGGTTAAAAGAATCGCATACAATAAATTTTGCTCTATCCTCATTTTCGAATGTGTATTAGTGGAATTATCTCTGATAGTTCTCTCTTCCCATACCAACATTAAAAAGTAGGATTTCGCTTTTGCGCACTGAAATTTACTATTTTATAATTGAAGCAAAGTAGTAAATCTATTCATTTTAACCCACTAACTTCGCTTACTAGATTTTGAATTACCATTCGACAATCCGCTTTTCTCTCTTTGGTACTTCAACATACATTTCTCAGTTGACTTTATATTTAATTTCATTTAGAAAGCATCCAACTTTCTGGGTCGATGCTTTTGCGAGCCAAATATAGTTATTAAAGGAGCTGAATACCACCCTCCACCTCTTCAATGGTGGCATATCTATCGTGGACAAAATGCCGCAGGAAAACTTCTCGCCAGCTTTGACCTTATTGAGGTATCTCATCTTCTCATAAAGTGATATTGCGCCTTCTGAAGATTTCGCACTCAATTTTGTTCTATTTAGGTCGATGCATTGGATGATATTGATGAGGTTCCAACTGTGGAAGATTTAGCAGATTTCACACGTCGTTTCAACGAAAGAGTACTACTCGGTCCCACAAGTGGTATTCCTTTCTCAGACGATTCTGATGATTATGGAGAGTATGGAGAAGAATGGGACGAGGAGATGCAACGAGCTGCCAAGCTCTTTGAACAGGACGGATATGACTCGCCGCAAGAAGATTCTGATGATGAAAGCAGGAGTCTCCTTTCAACAACTACATCGGGGACACTTGCCACTACCACAGCTATAAAAAGAACTAAAAAGAAGAAAGCAAAGGTTGGCCTAGCAACAGCTGATTTGGTTCGATGGAGGGCTGTTGATTCTCTTCGGTTGCCAGAAAACATCCGACCTCCTCTTGGAAGATTCCGCTTGGAAGTCGTAAGTGGTTTCAAAGAGATATCATCTTTGATTTGCGACTTTGAGGACTATTAAAAAACTTTATTCGCTCTTTATAAAAGGTCTTCTGGGGTATCAGAGAACTGAAAAGACAATTCCTCCTTCCGGTTAACAGGCCCGTCATAACTATAGAAGTTGGAGGAACCAAAATTGTTTCGGATCTTCTACGAAGTGCCAAAATTAGTCCGCTATTTGAGAGGCGTCTCAAATACGTCGATCTGGTACCTCGATTTTAACGAGATGGAAGTCCATTTGCCGTCACATAATTTTGTATTCCATTGTTTCATTTTATTTTGTAGTATCTTCCATTGGATGAGAAACTCTGGCCTCCAATCACGGTATTGTGTCAAGACCATAGAATGTTTGGAATTCATATCATCGTTGGTCTCTGCACCCTTCCAAACCCAACCGATTTCTTTGAGAAGAAGGATCTCGGTTTGTTCTCTGTTTATTTAATTATTACTTCACAATCTCGACTAGAATAGTCATTTATAACCTTTATTAATGTTAATTAGACTTAAAAATAGGGAATTTTTGGATTGTTTTAGATAGAATAGGAGGTAATGATTTCCTCCTTGTAACATATGTCGTGCCACATTTCGTATTGCTTTATACTGCTCGTCTTACAGAGAAGCATATCAAATTTACGAAGCTACATCGAGCTTTTGCGACCAATGATAGTTGTGGTATGCCCACAACAGTAGCATACCAAACCAAGGATTTTTAGAATTTATCAGGAGGAAGAAACACCTGTGTGTATGGTTTATTCGAGTGTATCAGATAAAATGCACAATATATATTGTACGATTAGGAATGAAATGCGCCCAAATATGTCTTAATCTTCCTGTTTTCATTTTTCCAAGTTATTTGATGCCCTAAAGGAGTTTTCCCAAAGATTCCTTACTAGTTTTTTTTTAACATTTCGAATGTTAAATGACAGAAACATTTTACATATGTGGAGTTGAAATCGTTTTTCAAGGCTTTTGAAATAGATTATTGTGGTCTTTCAGTTGTGTTTGATGAATATGAAGAGAGCAGCACTCAGGAATCCACGAATGAACACCAGAAAAAAGCTCCAATGCTATCAAAAGCTCTGGCTGGGATGGGCGACCCAGAAACAGAAGAGGCCCAGAAGTATGTTGAAGAAGACGGGACACTTCAGGCTGGTCGCTATGGTGCCCCAAAACCCCTTGCTTCTTTGGGCTCAGCTGATAGTGATGATAGCAGTGAGGACAGTAGCAAGAAGGAATCAGTGACTTCAACCGGAAAACCATCCACATCTCTAATGACTATTGAGTCACATCCTGGTATGTATTCTGAACGTGATCCTATTTTGAAAGATGCATCGCAGAAAGGCGGAAGTGTTGTTTCTGAGGGATATGTGGGCACGTTGGCTAGAAAGGCTACTCCTCAGGCCGGTGTAAAGGTAGGTGATATAAGATAAAATACACAGTGTATTACTAATCATCAAACATCTAAACATCAAACGGTTGTGTGCTTGTTTAGTCCTTCCCGGTGAATCCAATGTCGAAATTGTCGAAACAACAATTGAATACACTCGATTGGTGGTCGAGACTTTTTGCTTCTTTGGGTGATATTGATATTGGTGCAGATGTAAGTTCTTTTTTCATGTTGTATGCCTTCTATGATGAAAGAGGTTGGTGCGTTGGATGAAATTGTTTATTTACTTTGTTACTATTTGTTCTGAAAACAAAGAAATGGGAATGCAATGGAAAACATCTTATTTGCACATTTTTTCGGGGGAGGGTGTAGTTTTACTCGTCTTTTGGCTCACTTTCCATGTCAAGTCTATCTAGGAGCTCCTTGTTTGGATAAACAGTCACCTAAATTATTTTGAGAATTTAATAAAGGAGACGTAAGACCAAAACAACAATTCTGTGTTTAATGATTTACGCAAATAGGGGTTGTGTTTTTGATTTTACTCAATTGCACTGGAATCTTGAAAACCGCTTAATTCGGTTGGCACATGTGCGCGCCATTATTTCACCCTAATTATGATTGCCTTCTTCTGCAGTCAGATGTCAGCTGGTGCCTTGAGTGCCTGACATCGTTTAACACTGGTTTTAATACGCACAGTCTAAATTTTGGCGTTTTAAGCTATTGGGAAACGTGATATCTTTAATGCCCCAATCTCTCTGCTAATCTAAATGTAATATTGGTTTAAAATATTGTATAAATTGGCGTGGGAAAATGTCATAAAAACTGAAGTAAATGGGACCTATACTGATTCTAGAATGATTGTCAGAAAATCGTTTAGCCTCATTAAAAGTCGAAAAATTACAAGTGTTTTTCTTTCTCCCCATCTTTCTTAAATGGCAGATATTTCCAGAGGTAAGTTTATAAATTTAATTTTTATGAATCGCTTTTGGTTTGTCTCTCCTATTCACCTTTTACTCACCATCCAGTCGAATTCAAATATAGCACCTTGTCTTGCAGAAATGGGGCTGACATTTTTCTCCTGTCGTATATTCCATTTATTGCATTCATTGAACCATTAACTCTCGCTCTTTATACTCTAAGCACTCCTGAATATTTGATCAATTTCGACGTCAGTCGAAATTATATCACTTGAACTATATCCAACTCAGTTGACACAATAGTGGTCTTTTCTACCAATGTTTATGCATACACGAGAAACCACATTGATTCCTTTGTCTATTCACCAGTAATTTCAAAGTAAGTACACCTCTGATTCACGTAGATGTATGATAAACATCTGGTTTATGCCCAACGAAAATTGGCGTTTGCCTCATATTTGCTCAACGAACGTGTGAGTTCCATTTGGTGTGTTCTATCATTCAAAATTTGTGGTTTTTGATTTGAAGTGTTGTTGAGTAGACCATCTTACTCCTTTTAAGATTTTTAAAATTCTCACTTCTTTTCCAGCTCAGTGCAGTGATTTTTGCAGTCGACAAGTTATACATAGGTTATTTACTCATTATATACTACTTATTTCCTATAGAGTGATGGAGATGACAATATCGAGGAAGTAGACTCTCAATTCGATGACGAGTTGGAGAAAGTAGAGCTTCTGCCTGAAGATGATGACATGGGTAAGATTTGCATTATACTATCCCTACTTCTATCACTCGAGGTTTTTTGCTTATCTCCCGATGATAACCAATCGATTAGTTTCTTTTATTGTATTCGAAACATGTTTCAAGACAGGCGGGTATGGAAAATGGTCATTTTACTCATTAAGTCGAGCTGCGATTTGCCCAACAAAATATATGCTGTTGGGTCATGCAAACTCCAGTAGCCATATCGGCTACTTCATGCCAAATATTAGGCGATAATTTCCATGTCGTGTTGGCATTTTTGGAAGTCGGTGGTGCGTAGTTCAAACACCAAAATATCACTAAAGTATGACACATTTTGTATTCAGGAGCTTGAATACTGCAGGGTATGGAGACGACAAAGGCAAATATTTGGAATATTTTCGCTCTACCATCTTTCTCACTAACTTTGTTAAGACGAACTATGAATGCAATACGCCTTTTTAATTCTAAATGAGTTTAACTTCACAATGGGGATACTATGCTCTTTTCGGTCAATGTTTACCTCAATCATAGTGGATTGAAACTGTTATACTATTTCAGCGGATGAAATGATTCTTGAGATTCCAGAAGACGACATTGTTGTTGTTGGAGGCAAAAAATCTCGGCGTGCTCGAATTCGCAAATTCTTCCACTTGAAGCCAAAGAATGAGTTGACCGCTCTGGAGAAATACGAAAAACAGAAAGAAAAGGAAAGGAGGAAGAAAGCCAAGAAAAATAAAAGAGGCAAAACGGAGCCGAAGATTCTAAGTAAGATTGTAAGTATTCTTCTTTCAAATATCTGCTTTGCCCTCCACAGAAATTATTAAAGCCCATTCTTTTCCTGCATGCAGCGCGGTGATGCCAAGAAGGCTTTCTTGAAGGAAATCCAAGATGACGTTATCATCGCGAGCGCAGGAGTCGACAAAAGTCTTATCGAGCGCATTAAGGCATGTATTTGTGATTGCTTACATATATACTACTTAAAACTGTGGAAATAGTCCGACCAGAGACCTTGTGACCTAGTGACTCCAAGTTACCTTTAATAACCGTATTTGATTTCAGATATACTCATCAGAACTTGAAGAGGTTTCAGAGTTCCAGGGCTTCGTAGATCCTATTCGCAACTTCAAGCTTTTCCGTGGTAAACAAGAAGACGATGATATGGCAGCAGAGGAAAGAGCTGTTGGCTATTTCAAGGTTGGTTGGATTTCAATCACATTAACATTTCAACGTCTAATTAGCTTTTTACTAACCGAATTGAATAGAAAGTAGATAAAAATACATTTTAAATTTTTAATGGTTTCATCGACTCGCACACATTTGGAAAAGACATTGTACTTTATAGGCCAATGGAAAACTAAATTTATTATTGAGCAACTAGAAGGGCAAAATTAAGCGCCCGACACGAACACCCTCCTAATTCATTGATTTAGCTTCGACCTACTCAATCTTTTGATCGGAAGTGCTACTACTAGCATTAACAGGCTAAATGATGGGTGAAGTGAATAGAAATGACGAGTCCAATCAACAGTTACTTATTATTCAAAGGGGTAATGAAAAGGATATTTAAAAATTACGGAGCAGTTACAATATAAATTTACGAATATTATGTACGCGTGAAGTTTGAACTAATTCCTATCATTTATTGGTGTCTTCAAGTTGAATTGAAAAAGATGTAGCCAAGGGATACGTCTACCTTAAGACTGTAAAGACAATTGGCATTACACACATTTCTATCGATTTTCAGGGAAATATCAAGCTTTACCCCATTGCTGAGGACTCTGACCCACCAGCTTCTGTTGAAGAACTTCACTCCTTCAAGTCCCTTCCACAGAGGACGCACTGGCGGGTTCTCGTTCGTTGCTACATCATTCGGGTAAGCTCTTGATTGTCCTTCCATAACAAACGCTCTGTCATTTCAAATCGTCAAATTTTGTTTGAAATCTTCTTCACCTGTCAAGGATACTCCTAATTGACATTCTTTACTGTTAAGGATATCTGAATGAAGCAAATTTATACGCTTCACAAGTGTTCCTCTAATTGAAGACAACCTTAAATACTCTCCACGCAACTGGAAATTACCTAAATGGATTTACTTTGCGTTATTTTTCGAATTTTTTCCCTTAAGGATCAGTCTAATTATAAGAAATAATATGTAAGCTGGGGGGGGGGGAATTAAGGTTACATTTAGTTTGATGAAGGCACTGTCACCGTCGGTTTAACCCCTCCAAGTAAGTTTTCACTGATCTTTTTAATTCTCCCTTTTATAGGCTTTTAATTTGCATCCTGCGGATCCTACCGGTCTTTCTGACCCTTACCTCATTGTGAGCATGGGAAAAACAGTTTACAATGAAAAAGCCAACTACATTCCAAAGACTCTTCGTCCCACCTTCGGGAAGATGTTCCAATTCGAAGTGGAGTTCCCGAAAACCACTATCCTTCACATAGATGTAGTTTCACTGAACTTATTCTGTTTTTAACATTCTCAAATTATTTTTTAATGTGCTGTGATTTCGTTATGATTAAGGTTATGGATAACGATCTTCTCGGTTCAGATGATTTAATTGGTCAAACAGTGATTGACCTTGAGAGCCGTTTCTATAGCCCTCATCGTGCCACATGTGGTCTAGCACAGACCTACTACAGGCAAGTTCGACTACCAATCCATTTTAAATGACGATGTGGCCAACAATATTAATCAGTTCGTTTGCCTTTATAGCCATAGTTACGCTCAGTGGAGGGACAACAAACTCCCGACTCAAATTTTAGCCGAGTTATGTCAAAAGTATGGCCTTCCTCCACCAGTCTACACACAAATTGACAATACAGTGAAAGTTGGTGATAAAATATTCTTTGCTGACACTACAATAGTCGACGAAACAGGTATAGTCCAGGTTTCATTCATACTGTAGTAAATTTCATTGATCGGGACGAATATCTCTATCTCTTTTCTTAGAACAAAGCAAAAAATCAAATGAACCGTTGGCTCTCGCGGCGTTGAATCACTGGAGTGAAATATCCGGTGGAATTAGCTTAGTACCTGAACATGTAGAAATTCGAAAGCTCTTACATCCTGAGAAGGGCAGTTTGGAACAGGGTCGTCTTATGATGTGGGTAGATATGTTTGATAGGGATGAAGATAAACCCGCAATGCCCTATGATGTGACCCCGCGAACTCCAGAACCGTGGGAACTTCGCTGTATCATCTGGAACACTGCTGAGGTTAGTTCTGTGAATATTTTAATTTAAATATGCATTGAAAAGGAAATATCTCGAAGATTAGGGCTTAATTGACAACTTTGCATTAAAATAAAGCAAAAAGGCTAGTACATGAAGACTTGAGCAATACATAAAACAATACATACAATACATGCATGCCGTAATAAAGGGATACAACTTTGAATAACCTTTAGTGTTAAATAAGTCTGTTTACTTTCAGGTTGTGCTCAATGATACATCGTTATTCTCAAATGAAAAGAGTGCGGATATTTATGTTCGAGGATGGATTATGGGTGTTGGGGAAGATGATCAGAAAACAGATGTACACTACCGGTTGGTTTAAAGTTGATACCTTCTTATTAACCATTGCTATCATAATCCCAAACATGCTTTTTATTTCTTCTAGATCTCTTTCAGGCGAAGGTAACTTCAACTGGCGATTCGTGTTTCCATTCAATTACATGCGACATGAAAATAGGGTGGTGTTCTCACACAAGAAGGCTTTTGATATTGACCCAGTGGAGGTCAAAATGCCCGCTGATCTGACGCTTCAAGTCTGGGATAATGAGCTTGTTCGAAACGACAAATTCTTAGGTAAGATCTTAAAAATTTTGACACTTGAATGCAGAGCAATATTCCAACGTATTTAACGCGTACTTGAATAGGTTCGATCGCTTTGAAACTTTCCAAAATGCCAAGACCTGCAAAGACACCAGCCACGTGTGGTTTGCATCAATTGGATCCTAGCTGTCCAACTCTCTCCTTGTTCGAAAACAAGCAGATTCGTGGTTGGTTCCCATTGGTTATTCGTGATGAAGAGGAGAATTGCGATGTCGTTCAGGTACATTTCATGCTGTTTTAATTAATTGATTCGCTGTCAAAGGACGTGCGAATTCAGTCCTGGCGCCTTTGTATAGCTTATAAGTCAAGGATTTCCAAGTTTGTTCTAATTGAAGATTGTACCAGCATACTTGTGTTTTGGTTAAGATAAGCTGTCTTTCTTAATTTTTTGGACATTTATTGATATATTAAGATCAAATGCGGGATAATTATGAACATATTTGAAAAAGAACCAGTAGACAGGGACGTGGAATAAACTTACCAATTATATATATTTTTGTTATTATGGAGTTCATACGTGCGGAAAACATGTGGCTTATTTTAATTTGTTCCTTAAAATAATAAAGGGCAAAGTGGAAGTTGAACTCAATTTGGTATCAGGACAGGATGCTGAATCATCACCCGTCGGTAAAGGTCATGATGAACCCGAAGCTCTTCCCATGCCAAAGTACGTCCACTATTTACTAAAACCTCTACCACACCCCCCTCCCCCACCAAATATGACTGATTTATCTCAATGATTCTTTCATCATTTATAGTCGACCAGACAGTTCCTTCATGGGCTTCTTCAGCCCTCTCAACACCATTCGTTACTTGATCAAGTACAAATTGAAGTGGATTTTAATCAAACTCCTAATTGCATTCTTAATTATTCTGATTGTCTTCCTTTTGATCTACACCTCTCCTGGTTGGATTACCAAGAAGATTTGGAACGCATAAACCACCTCACCCCTCTATATATTTTCATCCTATTATTATTTATTAACGTCTTTCAGATTTACGTATCCTTTTACATTGCTTCACGAAATGTACTCTCTGCATTCATAGTTTTCTTGATTGGTGAATAGTGAATCAAACAAAACGTTGTGCTTGAGTGCGCGTGTATTTTTTCCTATAATTTAGGTTGAATAAAATAGAGTGTGTAATGTGTCTTTTTGATCCTAAATGCGTAAGTAACGTTTACCTGAGTGAAGGGCTTAACTACGTGAGTACATAAGGGTGGGAATACTTAGATGAAATGAATAAAAATGTTCACATTCACTGGGCTTCCAAGTGCTTGTGAAAGCAATCAATTCAAGTGGGAATGATAAAATCATAGTGTTTGAGCAGGCAAACCAAACATAAATGGCACGTCTTTATACGTAGCACGTCAGTTAAACCCGTGATATGATAGCGCAGAAGGAGTTACCTGATACTCGAGGTTTAAAATGTCGTCATTAACGCCCCCTTGAGAATATGGCAAAAGTACAAATAGCCCTCTAACTTACCTCTCATTGCTCTTCACCGTAATATCCAAGTCAAAAGGGAATAAATATACAACTTGGTAGAACGTTACCTCTTGGCTAATTCGTAAAAGTAGTGCGTTTCTATCACGACTCTCTGGCCCTAATCACATGGATTAACCAATGTTGACCTAGGTTAATCAAACTCTCACAAAGTCACTAAAATGAAATAGGTGGTTGATATAACGGATGCAAAGGCTATATAAATTGTTAGTAACCCTTTGGAGTGTCATGATAAATAGATTTCCTCGTATTCAAGGGGAAGGAGTTCCATTTGTTTGATTGTCTTCATTATAATTAATATTATTAGTTTTATTGAGAAAGCTCTTTTACTTGCCAATAGTGTAACAGAGACAACACATCGTTTCTAGGTAGAAGTATTTGAAAGCATGAAATGCTTACTCGAATTCTTACTGCTTTCTGTCTGTGATTAACGGAAAGTTGCGGTGGTCCAAACTTACACGATGTGAGCAAACGTAGTAAAAGGTCCCAGTGTTTGTGACTTGCGCCAAGATGAGTAATTTCCACAGGGGGACTCTAATTGGACAATCATTTACGGGGAGCGTGGCCCACATGAATCCTTATTAGGGCACATCATGCATAGCACCTATATGATCAATATGCACAAAAATTATAATTGGCAAGAGTAGGCCGCTATTTGTACTTTGTACGAGCAACATTACCGCGAAATGTAAAATGAAATCACTACTTCAAAAACCTCCACTGAGTTTTACCTCCGCATTAAAATGGATCCTGCTATTTTAAGCATTGTCGGCATATTTAATACACAAAATTTAATATTTCTTCCTCAGCTTTACGAAAGTTTCAATCTTAAGCCTGTTTGTGAGTTTCCGTTTTCTGTAGAAATCTGTTCATTAGAATATGGGATTTATAATAGAAAAAACCCTCACCCATCACACACACACACACACACTTTTGTGATAAAATGAATTCAATAATTATTCTAACTTTGAATAACATTAATCTTGATTTGGCGAAACATTGATAAAAATATACTAAGATCTGTCAAGAGAAATGGAGAGTCCAGTTTTTAAAGGAACATACATAATAATATCAGAAGATGAGACATAATCAACACAAAATCGCGTAAAGACAATTTTGGCTGTCATCGGAAATAAACTATGTAGAATGATAAATAGAGAAAATTAAAATTAAACGCTAAAAGGCAGAGGGCTATAGGTGTGAAAGGAGGATGATACCCTAAACCAGAATAGCTCCTAATCCGCAAAACAAAAAGAAAAATAAAATAGACTAGATGTATAAGCAATTGGATAGGCGCTTATGTGGATGGGGTAGAGGGAGGGAGGGAGGGGGACGGAAACGAGAGATCAGAGAAAATAAATTAGTCTATTAGAATGACGAATATATCTTGAGAGAGTGCTCTGTCGGTTCCCGTGAGACCTTCACAATTGTAGATGCCATCGTCTCCCTCCTGAACGTTATTGATGGTGAGACGACTGCGGGCCCCGCCGCAACCAAATCGACTAAGCACAGGCTCAATGACAGCACGATCACCCTGTGGTAGGCAGCCCCAGTTATAACGCCAGACGATTGTTGGTGGAGGCACGCCCACAACATCGCATTCAATTACCAGGTTCTGGCCACGACGTACTTCATACCTGGATGTGAAATTTTCGGCGTAGATGCTCGGTCGCCCTAAATTTTGGCAATAACTATTTTTACAGTCTGTGTTTGCAGTGAAGGTTTTGTACCTCTTTTTTAAAAAAAACAAGTAGTTCCTTAATGACTCTCGATTTTCATCCTAATTACATTTGGAATGAAATACATTTATCATTTTGGTTAGCCTTTGATTAAGTATATTGGCTTTAAGGTAAAAGTAAATTTTGGTGGTTTTGAATTGAAAATTACTAATTTCACAAAAATTCTAATGATTGGCCATGCAACTTCCTTACTGGCTATCTATAAAACGTTATATTACTAGTAAAGAGACTTTATAGGTGCTTATGCCATAAAGCACTTAAGTACCCCTTCTCCCTGTACGCTACAAACGGTGAGGCTGAATCGAAGGAAGTCAGTGTGGTCATTGGCTGGATTGGGACACACTTAACTTCATGACCTCTCCTATTCGACATGGGAGAGGATTGAGACCAAGACAAGGTGGTCACATCCACTTTACTTCCCAGTCCTTACTTTCTCCCTATAAATCTCGTAGAGGCACTGCGCTTTTTGAATTTCTCGTCATATGAACATGATATGTCGTCATAAAGATCACATTTGACCACTTCTCATGAACTTCCGAGAACGTGAAAATTATGTTAGTTAGGGTAGAAGAGAGAATTAATAGGATCCTAGGAACTTGAGGATTAGCACTGTTTCTCATCAGCACTCCTGGCTATCTTGCTGTTTTGTTAAAATATATGAATTACGCCCCATTTGTACTTTGAAAGCGAATCATTAGTAACTTGGTTCGACAAAACTCGGGAATTAAATTCGATCAAGAAAAAAGAAAATATTTAAACGTTGAAATTGCCACAGGAGAGTCAGGTTGTATTAGATTAAACGCTACTTATTTCCTATGTATTTTGTTGGATCTCGCTGCGTGCACACACTTATTTTCCCTCTTGACAAAAGTAATAGATTTTACAGGTAATCATGGTCATTCTTGCTGAATGAAAATCTCGTTCCACACCGGAGGGAGCACTTTTTACTAACTTACCTTGAAAAAAAAGAAGGTAATTTAGCTCATATCTTACTCAGTATATTGATGCATTTCTAAGAACTAATTGCACTTACGACAATTATATTCATCATCACCGCTGGGACAGTCCGGTTGCCCATCGCATTGGTAGGCAAGGGGAATGAGACCACCACCTCTGCACTCAAATTGTGCTCTTCCGCAGCTCATACCGGGCACTCGAGAATCTAAAACGCAGCAACAGTGTAGTTATAACCCATCCACTGGCATTCATCTGGTATAATAGATATTTTTTACTTACATGCTGCACAATTCTGTTCGTCGAAGCCATTTCCACAATCGTCTTCTCCATCACAACGCCAGTGTTCTTGGAAGTAGGGGATTTTTGGTTCTCTTTCATTCATCTTTCCACAGGGTTGGGAAATTGGATCGCATGCATCTGAATAAGGAATTTATCCTGTTAGTGAACGCTTTAGAACCATGCCATTTTAAGCAAACTTGAAGGAAATAACAACCGCAATTATGTGGTAGTTCATCGGATCCATCTGCACAGTCAATCTTTCCATCACAGAATTGCCCGAGATAGATGCATTGACCATTGTCACAACGACGTTGGCCTATATCACAAGCCTGATCTATAAACACTTCCGCCCTTGACTTTTCACCTCCCGGAAGATAGCATCTAAGGAGCGAAATATTGAGGGTCAATAAACAAAATTCAATGATTTCAGATAGGTTAATAACGTGTGACCTACTGAAATTCCAAATGCCTCCATGGAAGTTCCGTACCTTTTGGAATGATAACGACAGCACGCCCACGCTGAGGATAAGACACTCGGAAGTTTGGATCCAAGGTGACGGATGTTCCATTGGCGAATTCGATAATGGGATTATCACGTACGTCACTTGAGAGAGCGTTGCACTCAAGGCGAATCTCCTGGCCTGGTCGAACACGTTGTCTAGTAGGACTGAGACGAACGCTGTTTGGCAGGGTTGGTGGTGGCGGAGTAGGCTCTAAGAAAGTCAAGTGATCGATTTCCAGTTTTTCATAAAATCGGTATAGCAAATTTTGTAATAGTGTTTATTGGTTTAAACCGAATTCATTTCGGTAACTCTGATTGGTCTCAGTTTCCCTAATCATATTGGGATACCTTCCTTCTTCTGCTGGAAGCACCAAGCGTAGAACTTATAACTCCCCCTCCCCTGCCTATTGACTAAATCACTCTGATTCAGTCATCCCCAATGAAGTTGGTCGCATTCGCTTTGACTGTATTCACTCACTAGTTATGGCTACTTTACTTTAATCTTTTTTGGCATTGAGAAGGAATAGCCATTCCTGATCGATTAAAGCTTTTCAATTTATGAATGATTATAAGCAATTTTGATCACCCCGGCCACTGTCAGAAGTGCAAGTGAAGCTTACTGGCACAGTATTCAGTGTACTCATCAGAACCATCCGAGCAATCCCGTTTGCCGTCACAAAACACCCCTCCTGGCAGACAAGTCCCATCTCGACACGGAAGACGACCTGATCCACATTTGTCTCTCACGGTTATTGTCACGCGCTTTCGTTCACCGCTTGTAATCATACAGCTATAAATATGAAATAAGCAATTGATATCGTGATATCCTTCTCGAAATTATATGTACGACAGCATAGCTACAACAGAGTTATAGTTTAACTACTTAATTGCAACTATTCATTTCGCCATAATAATATGTACCATGCTTGAAAAGATTAACTTGAGTAGGGTAATCATATTTTATTCCCACAGTTGAGAGTAGAGATCAATTTTAAATCGATTTTCGATTGATTTGATTCTACTACGGACTCATCTCTTGGTCTTAATGAAGTTAATCTAACCCCTTAATTAACCTCATTTCATCAAACTTCGCCCTATCAAAAATGGACATATTTGCAGTTTGCTGGTCGTCGGCTCTGTTTTAGCCCATACAAGTAATTATCCAAAACCCCAGACACTCTCTAATATTGAAAAACTTCATTTCATATAAGTTTGCCACCCATCCAGCACTGCAGCCTACACTCAAGAAGAGGACCAAGCATTAAGATTTCGAACCAAATATTTTCAGTCCACACGAGCGTGATACAATAGCTTTTTCCATCGTCTACTAGATTATTGATTATTGAATTTTACCCTTCCTCTTTGATATGTAAGACCAGCAATGAAGAAAGTGTGACAACAATTATTGACTAACTAGGTAACCAATCATTACTGCTCACATTCCTGCAAAGCGAGTCTTCAAGATTACCTACTACCACTACATTTTCAATGGAATAATAAATCTATCGATTCAGACTCACTCAATTTGAGTACTATCTTCAGGGCCTCTCAGACCACGTGGGACAACCACTTCCATTGTTGTGCTATTGACCAATCGAACTTGATATCTCTGATCTTCCTTGACAAGTTGTCTATTGGCAGAGAACATAACTGTCAATGGATGTCCTTCAGGTGAGATGCAGTAGAAACGGATCAATTGCCAAGTATCGGTGGTGATTGATTCGGGAGTTGCGATTACACTAGGTCGTCGGGCTGTAAGATTTCATTTAATAAACCTTTCGAAATGAGTAAAATGCAGGAAGTTTAAAAAAGGAATATTTTCACCTGGACAGAAGTCGTGAATTTCATCAGACTTATCATAGCAATCGAATTTATTATCACAGAATTGAGACGTCGGAAGACATAATCCATCCTGACATGCCATCTGGTCCGGTCTACATGAACTTTCAATGGTAATCTCGAAGGCCACTCTATCTCCAATGGTATTTAAACAACTTAATGTAGACAAGATAATTAGCAATAAACCTAATCGAAATTTCAATCGCAAATGATTTTTTTGCTTACTCAATCTTGTCAACGTCTTGTTGACCCCTAAGACCTCTAGGAGCCAGGAGTTCTATTGCTGTAGCATTGATTCTATTGATAAGGTAACGTTGGTCGTTCTCGACTAATGATTGATCCTTTCTGAAGATGAAAGAAGGCTGCGAACCGGTTGTAGATATACAAATCGTTCGAAATTGTTGCCAGGGTCGAATAACCACTCTCTGTGAAGTTAGTACCAATTTTGGCGGTCTCGCTACTGAAATAAGCAATTAAGTAGAGAATAAGCGCAAATTTAGCACATTAATTGGCTGATTGAACTCAGCAATAAGATTGGCTTATTTGGGTGACTTATTATTGGTCAAAAATTCCGTGCGCATACATAACTAAGCTCACTTTCCATTGGCTGACGAAAAGGCCATGAACTGAATAAAAGTTTTATAACTGTTTTTTTCTTGCCATAAAAAAGGCAGATTATTTTGTCCGATATACTAGCTGAGAATGAACCAAAGCCAAAAATTTAATGATATGGTCGCCATTAATGCTTATCCAACATACAGTGAATTCAAAAATGCTCTTATGGCTTTTCAAAAGGTAAATTTTACAATTTCCATCTAAATCTCATTCTCAAAGGCCACAGGGTATGTGTTTGTGAAACGAACTATTAGAAGATTCAATGAAGGCGATCCATTTAGAAAGACCACAATATATCGAGGTCTTTACTATTCGTGTACATGTTGGGGTGAAAATAGGAAGCCAAGGTACTTTTTAACGAAGTTTTTTCCATTGTTGTAATTCAGAAAACGTGGAACAAATTGTGGGTCCTTCATCAAAGTTAAAGGAGTTGATGGTTTTCTACATGTTATCGCCTGGAATATGGTTCATAACCATCTACCGCAGATGAAAAAAACTCATCCAAGTTCGGAAGTTGGGGTACCAATTAAAACTACCCATGTGGAACATTGTAGTGACTTAACACATCTGTTTTTGTCTGTATTTCCACAAATATGGTTTCTGAATTCTTCACAATTTGAAAGGAATTTGAAAGAATTTGAAAGGATTTCAGGAATTCAGTATGAAAAGGTGAAGAGCGATAGTGCAGAGCAATCGATACGCATTTGTTCCCAACACTGGTATGCGATTTGATACGTAAATAATTAAATCTGGATTCTAAAGGAATGGGTGCAAATCAACAATCGTTTTGCAAGGTGGCAATGGGCTGATTCGAATTACACATTTCGACATGACGCATACACATGTGGAGGAACGTGAAAAAATGGAAATTTCTTCCCCTTTGAAGGAGCGAAACAAATTAGATGTGATTTCAGCTTATCCGCCTTTCTTAGAGGAATGAAGCCTCAAATCAATTTGTGCAAACGCTGTTGAAGAATAGGCCTTCAATTAGTGCCAATAGTTGTGATAGTTGATTTAAGTTTGTATTTTCCTTACAACTTCTATTTAGGGTATCGAGCAATTCCAAAATATCGTGAAAATTTATACCAAGTGATTGTAAAGTTCATCAATCACCATTTTTCCTTTTTCAATGCAATGTTTTACTGTTTTTAATTAAATTTTACGCCATAATTAGTGCTCTTTCTAATATTTATTTGTTCATTTCGAATGGAAGGCGTTTTGATAGTTATCATTAGCCTTTAGCTGACTTCACAGAATGAAGGAACATCGTCGTGAGAAAAATTCTGGAGGGGGGGGGGGAAGAATGGTGTAAAGAGGCACAAATGCAGAGAATAGATAAGATGAGTACTGTTGAAGTAGTCGAATTTGGCATACAGTGGGGTGATGGTAGTTTGAAGTGAGAAGTCAACTGCCGGTTAATAGACTTTTTGTCGTATGAGTATACGTTGCCCAGGGTGCACCACGTGGAGGTTTGTCTGTCGCGTACCCCGCTCTTTCTAATATATGATGTGGGGAGCTACTCTTACTTCTAGTTTATTCCGGTAGTGTTTATTGTTTATAATGAAAGATAGTTCTAAATTCGCCGTCCAGACGATTTAAATTCAGTTGTTTAAATTGATTTTAGAGCAAGGGCTAAGGCAAGTTAATCAAGATTCACTTGAAAATTTCAGATTAGTGGTTACTTTTTGATTTTGTGAATAAAGCTAATAAACTTTCTAAAGGGAAAGGTATTCACTAGGCTACATTTATAAGGGTGCCAAACACTATGGGTGGGATATAGAGACAAAGTCGAGCTTAATGGGTATAGTTGCGATAAAATAGTATTTTAGGCTATTGACAGCCGATGTTCTAAAGACGCGTGTTACCTGAGACGGATTAATGGTTAATTGAACGTGAGTTCAAGTATAACCACCAGTTCTTACTTCATCCTATTGCTACCAAGCCCTCATTTCTAGGGCTCACTTTAGTTCAAGTGTGAGCATCAGTCTCTCCAACGAGAAAGAATGGTTCTGATGTACCCTTTATTAATCAAACCTAACCAGTTAAGTGGATATTCCTCTCCATTGGGTATGCATTGATGGGCGTCGAAACCATATCCTCCTACTCTGCAGACGATCGTGTTAACCACCTGGCCATCAGAAACATCCTATATCGTTTCCAACTCTAGCTAAGAATAGATCTCTCTCACATTTCAACTCACTTGACTCACTTAATCTGTGTGTCGAAGCCATAACTCTCAAAGGCTAGTTCACTAACTGCAACGCCAATGGATATAGCGATATAAATTTAACGTGATCCCAAAGTATGTCTCAAGTAACTTAATGTTTTCGAGATAGATCACTGAAAATTGCATTTATTACCTTCACAGAATTGCCTAATTTCGTCGGACCCATCATCACAGTCTATTTTTCCATCACAGAAGTCTCTGATTGGTCTGCAGCGGCCATCGAGACATTGCATAGCATTCGGCTTGCACATATCATCAATAAAGATTGTCACATTTTCCCTTAGTCCCACATCGGTAAAACACCTAAAAAGGGACATGTAAAGTCATTAATTAACATTTGGTTGGGAGATCCTAGAGAAAAGAATCAGGAAGTACTCGAGATGAACCACTTCTTCATCTCCACGAAGACCTTGGGGGGCAGTGACTTCAATGGCAGTGCTGTTGAAGCGATTGATGGTAAATCGTGGATCCTGTTCCACGGATCTCCTACTCACAGCAAATACGACGTTAGGTCTCTGTCCAGTGGGAGCGATGCATACAAATGAGAATAATATCCAAGGTGGATTTCGTAGGTAGCTGGGGGTGACAATGAGCGCATCTCCTAAAGAGAATACAAATGCGGTTTTCGAGATAGGTGGGTTGCAAACTAGGTCAACTCATGTGAGTCAAAAATTTACGTTTGCAATGAGGAATATCTTCATCTGAACCATCCGAACAATCTCGCCGACCATCACAAAAACGGCTGCCTGAAAGACATCTGCCATCACGGCATTGCAACTGTCCAGGACCGCAGCTGTCTTCAACAGTGATTACCACCGTTGCACTATCTCCACGTCTTGAGATACAGCTGGACAAAACGAAATGTGAATTTGTATTTGAGCATCAATTAGACTTTAGACAAATGTACTCTTACTCAATACTCATACTGTCTTCAGAGCCACGCAATCCATGAGTTGCAGCAATTTCAATACTACTAGAATTGATTTCCACAATACGAAATCTAGTATCTGAGGAAACGAACTTTCTACTGTCGGAAATAATCGCTGTGGGTAAACCACGTCCCATAATATCTGTACATTTAAAAGCGAATTCACGCCAAGGAGGAGTAATAATCTTCTCCGGTGTTACTTGCACTCCAGATGGCATATCTTAACGTAAACCAAAGTTTGCTGAAATCGTTATAAGTAATATTCAACATGGACAGCGAAGTTTTGACTAACCTGGACAGGCAATAGTTGACTCATCAGACCCATCTGGACAATCATTTCTCCCATTACAGAAGTCCACTTCCGACACACAGGTCCCATCTTTACATGGAAGCTGACCATATCGACATGGATTAGAAATGGTGATCGGAACTTCTTTCTGTTGGCCAGTGATAGTAACACAGCTATTCATAAAAGAAATCTCGTCTTAGCGTCCTTCTAAACATAGGTCAAAAAAGAATATCTAAACAAACATACGCAATTTGGTCATCCGCTGGGAAAGTTGCAAGACCCTGTGGAGCAAATACCTCAATGACATTGTCTTCTGGTCTCCTAACAGTAAAATGTGGATCGAGTTCAATGGGCTTTCGATTTCGAAGAAGAATTACTGATGGTCGTTCACCCAGACTTGCAGTACAGGTGAATCTGAATGGTGTCCAAGGTGGAGATATGATTCGTGGGGGAGTAACTTCCAATCTGACTGGTTCTAAATAAAAAGAAAGAGTCACAAATGCGTTCACCTATTTCGAATTTAATTTACTTGAGAGGAAAATTCTTTGTTGGCTTTATAGGATAAGTGGGTCCGATAATAGCTATAGGAACAAGAAAGGAGAAAAGAGACGATTTCACACGCTTTGAGGGAATTAAAAAACCTTAATTTCTATTCGATTAATCATAGGCAGAAGATACTTCCAAAACTCTAAGGTTACTAACTACACTAAGTGAAACGTTCCGATTCTCTTTGAGTGCAATACAGAGTTAGTAGAAATTAGATTATGCTACAAATGCAACGAATTTCAAAGAACACTGCTGCTCATCTTTGAAATTTTCGACGCAAACAGAGCATTGATTCAAACCACATCCTTACTTATTTAATCCCCAATCCTTGCATTACTAGGGGCAGATATTATCTGTTGCATAGTTGGCCGTAAAACAAGTAATAATTTAATTAGAAATACCTCCACAGAAGCGTGGATCTTCATCAGACTTGTCGCGACATTGGCTAATTCCATCACAGAGTTGGGAGACTGGAATGCATTCCGCATCTTTACATTTTGAATATCCACGCCCACATTCGTTATAAACATTGATGGCAATGTTTCCGACGCCTCCTGTCAAGCTAACACATCTGAAATATGTAAAAAATGGGTTGAAACTCGAGTCAAATAAAATAGGACAACTTTTTAAGCATAGCTTACTCAATCTGCATATCATCAATGTCTCGTATTCCGTAAACAGCAGTCACTACGAGAGTTGACGCATTATAGGCAGTCAGTCGGAAACGTGGATCTGAATCCACTGAAGATCCATCTGCTGAGAGCACAGCTCTTAGACGGCTTCCGTCAGTGCTGGTGCATGTAAAATTGAAGGGCTGCCAAGCTGAAACGTCAATTCTTGTCGGGGTAACGATTACTGACGGAACAGGCGGTCGAATAAGTTCTGAAATTGAAATGACGTTAAAATTGTAAGTTAAAGTTGAATCACATGATATGCGCCAATTTGCAATAATCTCTAAGGCTTCTGTAATCTAAGCTTTCATTAAAATGAGCTACAAATTCAGATTCTTTACCCATTTTCCAGTTCATAATTCGCCTGTAACATACCAGGATCTTTTTGGTCTAACAACTCATTTTCTAATTTATGGCAACCTTTCTTATTTTTCTACATGACTTGATAGGTACATCACTGAACTTCTAACCCATTGGTCATTAGCTTCATCAACGTGGACATTTTAAAGCTGGATAAGAAGTAAGGAAGCATTGAGAAGGAAATCCAATAGTTAAATTACACCATTTTTGAAACTGTTCAAAAGACCATTATGGAACCAGTGACCATGTGATTTGGATGAAAATTATTGATAATCTTTTCATGCCAATGCCCACGTATTTCTGGAATGTTTTATCAGCAACTTCATAATGAACAACTGCTTTCATCTGTAGATCATTGTGGTTACTGAAAGTCAAACTATCTCTGCGTCTTTATCGCTGCTTAGACCAGCTAAAGTGACCTCAGATTTATGTTCTTTGTTAGTTGGTCTTTATTATTATCGCTCATTAATCAAGTAGACTTTAAACCCTTTCATATTCACTTGGCCTGTCTGTATGAAGCGTTTTGATAGAGACCTAGATGGAACAGTACTATGTAATTTCAACAATTCTAGGGGTTCATAAACGGCAGGAAGAATGTCTAGTGACAACATCTATCCTGAAACATGGTCCTTCCTCTGTCGCACAGGGCAAATTTGTTTATTTATGACAGGACGTTTGGAAGAGATTAGTCGATCAACAATATCGTAAGTCTTTTGGTGAACTTACCGAGACAGAACCTTGGATCCTCATCAGAGCCATCCGTGCAATGCTGTGCTCCGTCACACCACTGAGGTTTACGAATACATTGACCATCCTTGCATTTAGTGTAACCACGGCCACATTCCTCAAGTATGGTTATTGAAATTTCTGTTCTTTGGCCGCTTTCCGCAAAACACCTATAAATTAGGAAATAATATTAGTGAATGGGAAAGGTCTGAAAGTTTGCAATAACCCATATTCTAATGCATTTTTATTTTTTATCCCTATCTGGTAATTGACCCCACCTGCCATAAAGCAACCTATTTACACCTTTTGTTACTATTCTTTTTGTTTGAAAACCATATTCTTTCTCATAATCTATCTATCTCTCTCAATCTCAGCTCTAACAACAAAAGCACTTTCTATCTTTCTACTGGCAACCATTAGAAGAACAAATCGATGACTTACTCAATTTCTAAATCTGCGAAATCAGGCAAACCCTCAAGTGCTCTGATTTGAAGAGTGGAAGTGTTGTATCTAGTTACTTGGAATCTGGAATCGACATCTACAGGCGAACTATCATTTTTGAAGACAGCAGATACTCGACTTCCATCTGAACTAAAGCAAGTAAACTCGAAGTGTTTCCAGGCAGGTACATTTATGATTGGAGGGATAGCAATCACCGGACCTAAAGGAGGTCTCTCTGGTTCTAGGAATATTGAAGGTATTGAGTTATATGCAGAGTTCATAAGCGACAGATTTAGCTAATTTTACTAAGTCAATCTACCTCTGCAGAATTTGCGGTCTTCATCGGATCTATCGCGACAATGAGGAATTCCGTCACACCATTGGGACTTTGGAATGCATTGACCATCCCTACATTTGGTGTAGCTTCGACCACACTCGTCTGCAATTATAATTGAAACATCCGCTGTTCGATCCATTTCATCGACACAACTATTAATTCAAAGATGAAATATAAATAATATTTCCCATTTTATAATTGAATAATGATGATAGGGGTCAATATACTAACCTAGTTAACCACTGGCTCTGCTAATTTCGAATAAATCTCTTAAATTTGATGTTCACCATTACCCCGTCTAGTTTGTTTTTCTAACCATATTTTATTCCAATTTTCACCTAACCACAGCTTGAGTGTAAATTTCATGTTTTTGTTGAGTACAGCTACCTTTCAGCAGTAAGTACCATGTTTGAGAAAGTAGATATCTTCACACCTATGAACAGATTTACTGCAAGCCATCAAGCTCGATGGGGTAAAACGCTAAGCTTAAGCGTCTTTGCCTACATGATGAGTGGACTGTTGTGGAAATCAACGCACTTATATCATCTTTAATCATTCGTATAGACGTCATTAGCTAACCCATGAACTCGCCTTATCTCTATTAACAGTAGAACAAGCACATGGTCCCAGAAACGCAACAAGTCATCAATATGCTAGAACAGGCGGTTCCTGTCATTTTATCTGCTAATTTATATAACATATAAAGTGGCCTTAAACGTTTTGTCAAAAAATTTAATGAGCTATCCTGGAGTCACCACACTGCTGTCTTTCCTTATCTGAATCAATAACAAATAAGAACATGCCTCATTACGACATTCCAATTTTTAAAAGCTAGTTCTAGGGATGCATGATATAGAACGAATAAGAGCTACTATGAGCATATTACTACACCATATCCTTGTTAATTATTTTCAGTAAATATACGTGAAATAGAATGCTTACTCAATTTTTATATCTTCGGAATCTGGTAGACCTTCAGGAGCGGCAACTTGAATATACGAGTCATTGTAACGAGTGACTCGGAATCTCGGATCTTTCTCGACTAATGAGCCTCCAACTTTGAATACAGCAAACAAACGCAATCGCTCCGGACTGAAACAGGTGAAATTGAAGGATCGCCAGGCTGGAACTTCAACAATACGCGGAGAGACAATAATTGGTGGCAAGGGAGGTAGAATAGGCTCTGAAATTGAGTAGAGTTTAGTTAAACCCTGGCTTGAAAGAGCCTACAACTACTGAATTAATGTAAGTAGTACCTGCACAAAATCGAGGATTCTCGTCAGATTTATCTCGACAGTGAGGAACCCCATCGCACCACTGCGACAAGGGGATGCATTGTCTGTCTTTGCATTTAGTATATCCACGACCACATTCATCAAGAATAGTAACTAACACATTTCCTGCTCTTCCATCAGTATCGACGCATCTGAAATTTATGGATTACAGGAGATGTGAAATGAATAGCTCCTAACTTCGACGAGCTTGATATATGTGCATCTCAATTGTGATACTTAAGTTCTTCTTTAATTCTGCTATCCAGTCTCGGTGTATTCTGGAAAATCTCGTTGGTATGTGCTGGGATTCTGCTCCCGATGAATAATTAGAACTTATCAATAAATATCAATTCCGTATGCGCACTTGATATTCCTTGGAAATAAAGCCACTCGTGGATATATAGAGGAAGAGATTACAATCATATCTTATTTCTATTATTTATTATACTCCCCTCCTTTATCTACCACTTGCACTTACTCTGCTAATTTGTCACGAATTCGGCCTTTTATTTCTTCTCCACTTAATTTCATCTGCCCTTTCTATCTTGTAGTAGGACATTGGAACCTCCCAAGCTTGATAGCCACCCCTGCAATAAATCAATGAAAAAACTACTTTTATATACTTGAGCCCATTAAGTAATCATTGCTATTTACCTCAATTAACCTCCTGCTCAACTAGTCATTGCTATGTATCTGAGTACCCGTGTTGAATATAAGCTTCACTATATTTCAATCCTCTTTAATGTCTCGTCAATCAGTGTGAAATGACCCTTTCTTGCTCATCCCATAAGGTTCTCTAGGAATTATAAGGGTGTGGATAGTCGTTAATCTCCCAATCAACGATCATCTGTGCAGCAAAACTGCTAGTACAGTTTATTCTATGCTATTCCCTTTTACGTGGTTTTGAAACTTTCCTGGTTTACGAGTAAATAAAATTGTGAATAATTGTTGAAGTGATTTTACTCTATCTGCGTATCAGCATTATCCGGTAAGCCATCGGGCGCATCAATCCGAATATGCGAGTTATTATAACGCATGACTCTGAATCTTTGATCAGCTTCCACAGATGAGCCATTATCTCTGAATACGGCATCGATACGCATTCCCTCCGGACTATAGCAAGAAATTTCAAATCTTTCCCATGCTGGGACATCAATAATTGGAGGATAAACAATCACAGGGGGTGCTGGAGGTCTTGGTTGTACTAGAATCAAAAGGTAAGCATGATAGGAGATCATTTCGATGGTCCCAGTAATTTATTGATGTTAAGTTACCTTCACAGAATGGCAAGTCTTCATCAGATCCATCGCGGCATTGCGGCGTTGCATCACACAGTTGAGATATGTGAATGCAGCTACCGTCTTTACATTTGGTATAACCTCGATCGCAATCATCACGAATGGTGATGCTTATATCTCGTCTTGGTCCAATATCAGAAACACATCTGTAAAATGACAGCGTGGTTATTTTTGATAGAAATTCGAAATTTTCTTCAGAATGCTTATTCTGAATTATGAGTCCTTAGGCCTTTTGTTCAAAAATTTTAAATATGCAGTATCATGATAAACGTCTGGTCAATAGTATATGGTTCTCATATCGGATTCACTCGAATACACAATGTCAGAAATTTCCTTAAACAACCCAAGATCTTTAGATTCCAGTTTGTTCTAATTTGGAGAGGAACCAACCTCAATATGGTTCAGTGCCTGCGTGCTAGGTGAGTTTGCTTGTGTCTTTGTAATCTATTTACTGCTTGAGTCCTGGCACGTGATGCGCTTAGATCCCACCACCTCAAATGAATTATTAACTGTAATTCACCCCATTTTCCATAGATATTCATTTTGCAAGTTCAATATAATGCCTCACTTTACTTAAATGAAACACGAATGCTCCCTCGAGGACGTTCTCATTCGCCTGGATGCTATGACTGGGTTGAAGTTTTGCTTTGCTACATTTTTGCTTTCCATCTAAAGCATCCGGACACTCGATTCTTCAAATCGTCATGTCAGTGAAGCGGAACTTTCACTGATAGTGCTAGTACCTCATTCGTAAACACTAGGTGTTCTTGAACTTGGTGTTTTCCATTGGATACTCTCGAGGAGGGAATTCACCCCTTTTGGAGAAGGAAATCAACTTTGATGGTTGTTTTAGCTGTCCCATTCGACCAAAACAAAGATGGCCTTATCAACCTGATTGATTTTACTAAATTCTTTATGATGCAGCGTTTTAGATAAGTTGCTGGACACCCGCTCATGCAGACAAGATGACAAAGGTTATCAGAAACCCCCATTCTTTGTGTGCGGTATTAACATCACTCGACCTACTCATACGAAATCAGAATTGACCTCTAACACTCAATACGAATATATTATGTTGTGGAAGGAAAAAAGTACAGCTAAACTGATAACGTAACGTTGAATAATTCTGATAATCCTTTACAACGCAAAGCAGAAAAAATCAAAATCCATATCTCGTGGAGTGAATTGAGGAACAATCAACTGAGGTGTATGCCAACGAGGTAATTCGTTGGAATTGTTTCACCCTACTGGGAATGAAAAATAGAACGACAGGGAGAGAGATATTCCCATTAAATAGCTTCCAAGCTCAATTTATATGCATACAGTTAATTTAGAAGGTGGCAACTTCTTACTCAATTTGCATATCATGAATATCAAGAAGTCCATAAGGAGCCCTGAGTTGAAGAGCTGAGTTGTTGAATCGAATGACCTGGAACCTTCGATCTGCTTCAACAGACGATTCATTGGTCTTGAAAACAGCGCTGATTCGACCTCCATCAGGACTGATACAAGTGAATTCGAAAGGTCTCCAAGCTGGAACATCAATTCTAGGAGGATACACAATTAGCCCTGATGTGGGAGGTCTTGGGGTTGGTGCTGTAATTAAAATGGCAATTAAATATCACTACCATTTGGATATCATTTGATAGGTTTTGGTGAGAAATTACCTTTGCAGAACCGTGGATCTTCATCTGATCCATCACGACAATTTAAAGTTCCATCACAGAACTTAGATATTTTGATGCACTGGCCATTTTTGCACTTGGTTAATCCAGGTCCACAGCTATCAGGAATTGTAATTGTGATTTCTCCTCTTTGACCAGTCTCAGAAACACATCTATAATATTGAGGAATTAATTACCAATATACTCGTGGATCTTCAGCAGCAATAGAATCAATAGGGTTTATGAAAGTTACTCACTCGATTATCAAATCATCAATATCCCTCAGACCATCAGTAGCGCTAACATAAAGAGCAGACGCATTATATCGATTAACTTGAAATCGAGCGTCGCCATCTACTGGGGATCCGTCTTTCTTGAACACAGCGTCTATGCGATTTCCATCAGAGCTGACACAGGTGAATTCAAAGGGCCTCCAAGCTGGTGTACTAATGCTTGGTGGGGTAATGATAATATCAGGTCTAAAAGGAGGTTGAATAGGCTCTGGAAATGGAAAAAAAGTCACTTATTACGATTTTAGCAAATGGAATTTAAAACTGCCTATATGCTAGTTTGACTAACTTCTACAGAAACGTGAATCCTCATCGGAGTTATCACGACACTGACTAGTTCCGTCGCAGAGTTGATGCACAGGAATGCATGCTCCATCTCTGCACCTGGTGTAGCCAAGTCCACAAGTGTCATTAATATTAATGACAACTTCTCCTCTATCACCGGCCGTTGTGACACATCTGAAAGTACAAAACGAAAAAAGTGCAGTAATTTAAAAAATTAAAGAAGTATTATCAGCCATAGTTATTTCACACTGCTTTAAGTGTGTAAAACATATAATGATGAAAGTGCATATGCGATATCCACTAACACTGCTAATTGAACAACGAACACAAGGAGCTTTAAATAGCCAAAATTAAGCCATGATGGCATGAACTATAGTCTTAAAGTAAACACCCTGCATTACGTAAGCTCAGTTGATGTCTCCAGTACTCTCTCGATCTCCCTCTTCTCAGCCCATATTTATTTGCTACGTCACCTTCTAGCTCGGAGTAAAGCCTAAACTTCTTCCATATCTTCGTGGTAAGTAAATGGAAGAAACTGTTCATTGTGAAACATAGAGAGTGATTAGACCATCATAGAATTATGACTTGTGGACACAAAACAATTTTTTCAATTCGAATCCTACCGGACATTGGTGAACATAGCTCATGATTTCAGATTGAATTTTTTAAGCCGGAATAGGCGGTTCTTATTCTGAATGTGGCGCAAAAGCGTCTAACCTGTTAATAAAAACGTAAAAGGCCACCATTCTAGACAAATTGACGGCCTGTCTGGACAAAATGGCATAGGCTCGGCGGTTGTTTGCTCCCTTAACCGTCAATTATATTTGGGTCTAGATAGATAACATCTGCAGTGATTATGTATTTTGAATACACGCATTTAGAAAGAAATTTGGGCTTGGTAAATTAGCATAGCATATTTACACCAATTACAACAATCTTTAACTAATCTGCAGACCAATTAGAGGAATAATTGCTTTAAAATCTTACTCAATTCGCATATCATCCAAACCTCGCAGACCATAAGGGGCGCTGACAAGAATAGCTGAAGTGTTGAACCGAATAAGCCGAAATCTCGGATCTCCTTCCACTGATGAACCATCCTCAAATAAGGCAGTCACTTGCGTATTCGGTCTGCTCATACAGATGAAGTCAAATGAACGCCAAGGTTGAATGTCAATTCTTGGTGGAGACACTTGTACAGGTGGAGGGGGTGGTCTCGTTGGTTCTAAAATATATATTCAGTAATCAATTATTAGATAAATTAATTACTTATCAATATAAGTGATTCATATTTACCTCTACAGTAATGGGTGTCCTCATCTGAACCATCGTGACATTGGGCAACTCCATCGCAAAGTTGTTGGACTGAAATACAGGCGCCATTTTTGCACATTGTATATTCACGACCACAATTGTCCTGAATAGTGATAGTAACAACACCTTTCTGGCCTGTTGAAGTCATACATCTAAAGCCACATCAGTGTTAAACATCAGCTTTTAATTTGAAGGTAAGCGATGCGTTATCAAACTACTCACTCAATTTTGACATCATCGATATCCCGAAGACCATGGATTGCACTGACTATCAAAGTCGAAGAGTTATACCTATTAATGCGAAATCTCGAGTCTCTATTAACTGGTGAGCGATCGACTTTGAAGACAGCTTCTATTCGACTACCATCAGTACTGATACAGGTGAAATCGAAGGGACGATATGGTGGAACATCGATGGTTGACGGGCTCACGATTACGGGAGGTGGAGGAGTTGGTCTAATGGGCTCTGAAACGTGACCAGTGAGAAATTATACATGCAGAGTATAAGCACTAATTATTCAAATTTGATTATTCATGGCCTTCCGGAAAATCACCCAACCTGTAAAACTAGTTGTGGGAGGCTCTTTAATTTTTTAAGTTAAGCATAACTAAAGATATCAAAAAAGATAGAATATTAATTAAATGCTTTGACTAAAATTAGAGATATAAACCTTTCCCCCCTTGACGATAAAAATTAAATAAAGCAGAAAAGACGTAATTATCATATGTGCAAAACTAATTAATGGAGTGGAAACAGCTATCAATAGATAGCATGTTTACTGTATAATTTCTTAACTTATCATTTTATTGCCAAAACAAGTTAATGGATCAATTTTTGGAAACGAATTGATGCTAGAGTTTCTCTATTTTCCAGCAAGTACGTTCTACAGATTGTGATCTTGAAATTGGATTGTTTCTAGGGAAGCGACTCTTCAGACTTAGTGGCTACTTTCCATTTGTCTTCATAGCACATTGTCCAATGAATGTCTCTGATAGAACTTCAATCGAATTAGAGTTATCAAAGGAATTTACCTCGACAGAATTCTACGTCCTCATCGGAACGATCTGAACACTGTGAGACACCATCACACATCTTTTCCTCTTCGATACATTGTCCATCAGCACATTGAGTATAGCCCACTCCACAACTACTTGTAATGATTATTGAGATGTTCCTTGTCTGACCAACTGGTCCCACACATCTAATAGGTATTTAATATGGCGTGAAAGATTAATTTCAAAATCGATTGCTTTAAATTTCAAGTTCTTACTGAATGATTGTATCGTCAATGTCACGTAGGCCTCGTGGCGCGCTGACGACAACTGTACTATCATTGAATTTCGATACCCTAAATCTTGGATCCAAATCAACACTTGAACCATCAATAGCGAAGACTACACTGATCTGACCGCGATTGTGACTACCACAGACAAACTCGAAAGGCACCCAAGCTGGTTTATAGATACTTGGTGGCTCAGCATAGATTGGTGGTTTATCTGGTACTGAAATGCAAAATAAAATCAGATGAATGTAAGTGTCGTAGACCAACATGATTATTAGACTTAATCTTACGTCTACAGAATCCTGGATCCTCATCTGAACGATCTGTACACTGCGGAATCCGATCACAAAGTTGGAATAGAGGAATGCAAGAACCGTCTTTACACTGACTCTGCTCTGGTCCACAGAAATCATGAATTGTTATCAGGACTTCCTTACTTATACCACTTGTTGACACACAACTTGAAGAAATCAATAATATAGTTCAATCTAAAGTATTCAAAAATGAACATAATTATGAACTGGAACACTCACTCTATACGCATATCATCAACATCTCTCAGTCCCCTGGGAGCAGAAATGACAATAGTGGAGGCGTTGTGTCGAGTAACAAGGAATCGAGGGTCATCACGCACTTTTCTTCCGTCAGGGGAGAAGTAAGCTTCTAATTGTGAGCCGTCAGTGGAAGTGCATGCGAATTCGAACATTTGCCATGGTGGCATATCCACAAGTGGAGGATCGGCAATGACTGGAGGCCTTGGAATACCTTATATAAAAAATATGAAGGAAAGGGGGGGGGTGTACTTTTGGAGGTATGTGGGTTGGGTGAAGGGCTCTAATCTTAGCTAAGACCTAACTACGATAATGAAGTCCTTGATAAATTGGACTAATACCTCCGAATTTTACGGTGACTCAGTTGATTAAAATTTAAATATTTCTCGTCGCATTATATTTCCTTTTAAGTACATTAGGCTTACCTTATCAGTTCTTAAGAAAATGAATATTTTACATCTATCTCAAAGGTGTTGAGAGACAGCACACTGGCTCATGTGCTTCATATCTAACCTGCCACTTGACGGCTTTTATCGAATTTCCTTTTGGTCCCCAGCAACAACTATCATAACTTGATCTAATTGGCATGCGATTTTACTGCGCACCATATTGGCGAGGGGTGTGGGATGGACTTACCTCCACGTAGTGCATATTGGGCAACATATACTTACACGACAATAAAGCTTCTAACCCGGCATTTGATTTCTGACTTCAAGCTACCATGGTCCGACTGTATGTCATCTTCCGCCTTCTCCGCCTTCGTGTCTGTCGGCCTCTTTTACATCTGTGAATCACTCTTCTGTTCCTCTCCCCTCTCTACCTTGGGTGACTTGGATGTTCCTCTACTCTGTGATGAAGACTATCGAAACGCCTACCATTTGGCATAAATAACGACTGAACAGCCGTTTCCAGCCCCCCCCCCCCCCCCCCACCTCTCTCACTCTCTCTGGCAATTTTATCTTCGCTGATATTGTTCACCACATTTTTGTGCTAATTTAAATTGCTGTCTTCCGGTAATCACTAGGAAGGACCTTATTTTCAGGGAGCTCATTTTAGTCCAAACGAATTGAGCATGTATAGTTCAACCAATAGGGACACTGACATACAAAATTCTGTCAATAATGATGTGATTCATTTAAAGTCTCTCCAATTCCAGGATCATCGGGATAATTCGAGTATTGGGGTTCGCTTACATATCACAAATGACTACATGTCGAAATGGATTTTTCAACTGGATATTTGCCTCCTTTTCTGCAGCGTCAATACATTGGAGGAAGGTTCTTTTACCTTTCTTCATTTTTTCGAACTCAGAATGCTTAAGGCGGAATAAAGCTTCTCTTGCTATTTTTTGCTGAGAAAAGGCCAATTTTCAATGGGGTCCAACCGATAAACCATACGAAGCCATCATCGAACTTGCCTAACCTCGACCAATAAGATTGAGCTGATTGGCTTACAAAGCAAACAAGAAATGGGAAAGGATCTGGGGGAGGGGCTGTATTAATGAATTTCTATATCCTGACTGATTTAGGCTGAATATTTTAATAACTTGACCAATTCGCCAAACATTTCATTCACATGACGGATTACCAAAAGATAGAATCGAACACAAATGCTATGATTTTGTTTAAATAACAGAAAATATACATGTAGAATGCCTTGCGATCATCAACCCTTACGTTACAGATGAATTTATTGGTGGTGAAATCGGAGTGGCTCCATTTTACCAACTAATGGGTAGTCAATTTCAATTAACACATACCTGCTCTTGAATTTCTCCAACCTAGTCTTACCATATAAATCGATTTCAGTCATTACTAATAAAGGGCTTTTTCGAAAGTCCTCCCATTAGAATATGCGCCAGTGGGTGGTTATTTGGTTCCTTAAAGGGAATTTTCCATTTGACCGCCTTGGGCCAATTTTCGGTGAACACCGGTAATCATTTCAATAAATAGGAATAATGCGAGCCGTCAAAATCACAGTGACATCGTGCATAGCAAACCTTTTTCCAGATTTCGGTTTCACAAATAAATACCTAGTGCTGATAGCTATTCCATTATGAACGACTTGAACTTTGCAAACCTATGGTAGCGAATGCTCAAGTACGATCATACAAAATCTGAGCATAAATGTTGGGTGAAGCAGATGATTAAAAGTCAACCTACCACGACAGAAGTCAGGAATCTCATCAGTGTGGTCTTTGCAGTGGGTGACGAAATCGCAGATCTGCGCTGTAGGAATACACTCGCCGTCTTTACATTGTGATTTTCCGGAAGGACACTGACTATTAATGGTTATTTGAATTGAATTCCTATCACCGCTCGTTGACACGCATCTAGTTAAAATCATGAAATTAAGAAGTTATACCACAGTACTAAAATTTATTTGATTATCTAATAGAGCCTACTCAATTTCCATATCGTCTATATTTCTCAAACCAAAAGGGGCCGACACTTCAAGAGCGGTAGAATTTACATGAGCGACATGAAACCGATGATCAAATTCAACCAGGTCTCCATTAGATTTGAAGTAAGCTGTTATACGACCAGTGCCACTATTGCAAACAAATTTGAAAGGGGTCCATTCGTAGACGCTTATGAATCCTGGTGTGATCGTGATCGGAAGTTCCGGCGCTCTGCAGATGTCCAAAGATTCGTCGGATCCGTCACTACAGTGGCGAATACCATCACAAGTATGGAATTGTGGAATGCAGGTGCCATCTTTGCATCGAAACTCGTTTGGTGAGCATTCTGGAGGAATGATTTCGACTAAAAGTGCAACCATAATTTATTAAAGAAGTTTGGAATGCTCACTTCGTTTTTAGAGGACACTTTAATTATTGAATAGTCTCTCAAAGGTAGCTAATTTAACAAAATCGCATGGCCATTTCCTGAAATTAATTGACTGATCATTAGGTCTCGAAATAGAATTCAGAGTCCAACTTTAGAACGTAGAATATGCAAAATTTTTGATTTTATACTCCTCTTATGTTCTCCCTATCTTAATCATCTTACCAGTTCTTCAGGATATTCACGTTGTAATAGTGCTCACTTTTAATACTTCTTTGGTTATAGATTAATAGCACACTAAAGTACATTTTGATCGTTTTACTCCTCAGAGTATACTCATATAGGGGGAAAAACTCTTGAATTAGTACTTCCCAGTATCTTGATTTGATTCTCTAACTTCCAGATTGGGCCGAAGTTCATAATCTTAGCAGCAGCTGAAGATGCCGATGGTAGGTAAGTATTCGAGTTCGTAAGCCATAAGTGGAGCACTTAAGCGAATTGAAAAGATTTGATGCTGTTTAACGCTTTTTTAATAAGTTAGCTATGAAATTTCAAATTCAAAATTTTCATATTCGCCTTTCCGGGGCCGTATGATTTGTCACCGTTCTAGCTAGTTAATAGGTATTTTAAATTCAAATGAATAAAATGTTTATTTTATTTATACTACGGTTAAGGAGGGATGCTAATAAAACCGAATTGACTTACTTTCACCACAGAACTCTCGTGTTTCGTCAGATCTGTCAGGGCACTGGTATCGTCCATCACAAAGGTTAGAAATGGCAATACATGTTCCATCACGACACCCTGTTTCACCAAGTCGACAGGAAGTTGAAATAGTGATTTTTATTGCCTTCTTCAAGCCTCGATCGGTGACACATCTAAGTAATGCGAAAATAGGTTAGAAACTGTTAGTCTTTTGTCAAAAATTATAGCATAGGAGATTTACGTTATTTCCGTATCATCTGTAGAACGAAGGCCCCTAATAGCAATGACTTGAACATTTTCGGTGTTGAGGCCCGTTACGTCAAACCTTGAATCATTTGCAACTGGTAGGGAGGTCTGAGTAAAGACTGGAGTAACGCGACTGTTTGGCGGACCACGACAAAGGAAACTGAAAGGTCTCCATTCTGGAACGTCAATTGTTTCAGGAGTTATGTCAACATCTTCCACACGAGCTGATTAAGCAAAAATGAACCGGCGGTTACCATTTGTAGTTGTTTAGATAACTTTTTATAAATAAGTCAAATACTAAAGTACTTACACGGGCAGAACTCCTTTTGTTCATCACTGCCATCAGCACAATCAGGTCGTCCGTCACAGAACCGATCCCGATCAATGCATGTAGCATCAGCACAGGACATTTGACCAGAAGGGCAGGGGTCCTTAACGGTGATCGTGACAGTTCTTCGATCACCTAAACGTGTGACGCACCTGGAAGTTGATGCAGCAAGTTTTAATGATGTACAAATATTTGAGTAAATTAGTGATAATGTTACAATTTGAAGGACTAACTCAATAGTCATAGATAAAAATGTTTTAAACAGAATTTTAATCACCAAATCACATAATAAAGTTTTGATCCCGGAGAAATGATCTGTTAACACTTTTCAAAGTTACCTTACGAACCAGCGTCAGTTTGTAAGACGTTCCAATATGGTACTATTTTCAATGCCAGCTTAAATCGAGTTCAATCACTACATTTCACCCACAGTTGTCAAAGCGCGGCTGTACTCACAACTGTCCGTCATTCAGTGAATCAAATAAATTACTTATTCATTACCACTCCACACACACACCTCCCACCGATTAACATACGTTCAACGCAAAAACCCAATTCTTACGCCCCCTCTTCCGTTCTTTGTTCCCTTTCTCTTCTCTGCTCTCAAAGCGGTTAGATAATGGTCACTCCTAATCACAATTTAATCTAATTAAAATAAAAATCTCATGCGTAGACTCGAAGATGAAATCAGAAGCAGAAAAAAGCATCGTGCAAAACTTAACATAAAATGAATAGACACTTTTTCATGCTTTAAAATGAATAACGTAATGCTGAAGTTCTTTAAGCTTTACTTATGGTGATTTGATAAATTTTTAACTAACATCAACTTTTACGAGCTCAGCTTTCTTTTATTTCCATGTGCCACGGAATATTTTTGGATTCTGTGTTTTACCAAGGAGACAAGGCAAAGAGCTTGATTGGTTGCAGTAAGAATCAAGGCTACAATTCATATCAGAATATAATTAAGAGTGAATGGGATGTTACTCTAAAAGACAGACCAGGGTCTTCCAATGGCTTATATGTTGACCTCGGTCTATTCGTAAGCTCCAGTCCTATCTGAGCGCAAAATATTAGCAATGATAGCCCGATTGGTCACTGTTCGGGTGAAAGCTCAAGACATTTATCACTCGTTCACACAGAACATAATATCACGGATAGCCCTGTTGACCTGACGAAAGGCTACTCACCAACACCAACCCGAGGAATTTTATTGATGAAAATATGCAGCTCAAGGTGCAGTCTGCGATTAGCTTACTCTGTGACTAAACACCAAAGCTAGCACAAAATTTAACCAGATATTAAGCAAAAACTGTGCGCCAATAACACCCCACCCCAAAATTAAATCATTAAACGTAGCATTCAATTCTTGCACTTCGCATTAGGCCTACTAAAGTAGACATGCTATACTTGGGATAAAGCACTGGCATACAACTGACCACAATTTCACACATAAATAATTCAAAATTGAGCAAAATCGTAGATATTCGCAAAAATTTTGAAAAAAATTATTTGAAAGGTCATTATCTTCGTCTGGGTCCACGAGGAACTCAATCGAAATATGAACTAAAATTAATGACATATACCATGCAAAAATTCTTGGCGGTTAACACAACGATAAGTAGTAGTTAGTAAGGGAGCTGAAAGTGGTTAGTAATTAGCGGTACAACAATAACAGTAATAATTGTCATAAGTATTAGGTAGCTTTGAGCAACAACAATAAGTGAAGCGAACCAATGGAACTTGATGCGTTTTTGTCAGAACTTACGCTAACACCATAGCATCGGCTCTTGGTAATCCATGACGAGCGGTTACTTGAATCACAACTGCTTTGGGGCTTGAGTATCACACAAGAGTTTCCATTAATTACCATTCCAACTCGCATGGTTTAATTTTACTACTTAAATACAAACTAGTAGACTCACTCAATTGCCATGCTGTCAATTTTTCTTAGTCCGAACGGCGCACTAACTTCGATGGCCTCGCCGTTTCTTCTGAACACATCAAAGCGAGGATCACCTTCAATTTGTCGTCCATCTTTCTGGAAGACGATAGTTGCTTGACTCTCAGGAGGCGCGATGCAGACAAACGTAAAGTGCTTCCAAGGTGTGGTTACAATTGAATCTGGATAGACTGCGAACTCTGGAGATGGTGTGATGGCTAAAATTGAGAATTTATTTTCAAAAATAGTTACTTGAATCACTGATTCTAAAACATCATCAACAAAAAACAGTTTAACTACGTACTATTTCTAAAATAGCTTTAAACGTAAAATACTGACACTTCCACTATAATGGTTGTGATCCAGGTGGGAAATAAAATCCTACGTACCTGGACAGAACTTTGGATCTTCATCTGAACCATCAGGACAACTTCTCCGGCCGTTGCAGAATTCGGACGTATTCACACAGCGGCCATCTTTGCATTGTGATTGACCATAAGGACAAGGATCTTTCACAGTGATTTTGACAAGATCTTTCTCACCAGTCGGAAGGAAACACCTATGATTCAGTTGAAGGCATATTTAAGTCAAAATCAGTGAAACCAGCAAACAGATTTGGTCCTCTTCTTCCAATGAGTCGTTTATGAAATTCATCCTTTATTCATAGTCTCTTTTATTAGCGCATTTGACTGTCATCATTGGTGACTTTAGACTCAAAATGGGTCTTATTATGGTAAAATCCGAATGGATATGCATGCTCATAAAATTGAAATAATAAAAGATTTATTTATTTTGAACGGTAAATGATGAACAAGTAAATCGAATAAATATCCTTTCATTATTTAGACACGTGGCCTTACAAGGCGTAATATTGACAATTTGCTGAAACTCGCTTTTTCGAACCTGCACCTGATGCCTCGAAGTAGGCGGGATTTCGATTATCGCCAAAAGACCTCAAGTTGGACCTATTAAGCTCATCTAAAGTACGTGAAGCCCTACAACACACCTGCCTACACATACTTTTCCCAGAAATAATCCTAGCGGTCTTAGTCTACGCAAGTGGGTCCTAATTCCAAGCTGACATGATGTCCCCTCCGCACATTTTTAGAGTCACTTAGGTTGAATTGCTGGCCACTGCAGAAGTTAAGCTCTGAATTACGAACAACGCTTGGCAATAATGAAACATATGTATGACGGTAGGTGAATTCAGCTCCGTCACACCTTAGAAATAAGCAATAAGTGATTTCAGCTCTTTTCTATATCCAAATCACTCCAACCCCCCCCCCCACCCCCACCGCATGATCATATGCCTGTTGACCATTACCTCTGTTTTTTGCCCTGTGGAGATAAGTCTAACCGCTTTGCTATCGCCCCCAAAACTAAAACAGTTTTTGGAACTCCTCCAAAGGGAATATGAGATCAGCCTGATCCAGATTCCGGAGTCGTAGTGGGGATCGAGGGGTGGGTAGAAATCTTTCAAAATAACATAATTTCCTTGTCTAATGAATTTCAATGGTTTTTTTAGTTTGGCAGTTTCTAACCACTCATTCACTTTTTTGCACGTATAAATAAATCAACTTTTGTGCAAACACTCACATTTTACTCACAAGGAGTGAATTGATGGAATCCTCATACTCCAACACCCTACTTACTTTTTACAATTCAGATAGCTTGCTCAAAAGATGGCATATGGCAGAAATTAAACGCACTCAATTGTTGTATCATCCGTTCCACGCAGGCCATGAGGAGCAGTCACCTGGATGATATTTTTATTAATTTGGACCACATCAAATCGTGGATCTTCAGCAACCCGCTTGCGATTATCTTGGAAAACAAGATCCGCCTTGCTTGATGTTGGTACAGCGCATATGAAAAGGAATTCTTGCCATGGAGGAGTCTCAATTGTATTGGGCATGGTAACCACACCTCTTAGTGGTTCTAAAAGGGGATATACTCGAAAAGGTGAGATTTCCTGCTTTTTGCTTTCGCATTAGTTAACAGTGTAGACATGTTACTACGATTCAACTTGAAACTAGCAAATATCTTACTTTGACAGAGTGTTGGGAATTCATCCGAAGAGTCTTTACAATTTGCGAATCCATCACAGAACTGAGAAGTTCGCACACATTCACCACTTCTGCATTGGGATTCTCCAGGACCGCAGTTTGTTTCTACCGATACGACAATCTCCCCACGTTTACCCTCGGGAGCGACACAACTAAAGAATACGATAAGTACGTATTTTAGTAATGATTGAGGAACAAAAATAAGACCCACATCGGTGTAAGTATGCTCTTGAAAGCAACCTCCTCACTCCCTTGTAATATCGTTAAGCACACTTACACGAATCTAACAGAGTCGGTATGAGCGTGAATTCCTTGGGGTGCATGGATTAATATAGTTTGAGCATTCGGTCTATGTACACGAAATCTCGGATCCCCATCCACTGACATTCCAGTAGCAGAATAGATCACCAATGGATTACTACCACGAGTGACCACACAGGAGAAATTGAATGGACTCCAGGCTCGAACATTGATTGAGGGCGGACTTACAATAACACCGGACGGTTCAGCTATAAAGACGAAGTAGGGTTAATACTCCATTTTGATGATATCATTGAAATAGGATTGCTCCTGATAATTATTACCTTTACAAAAATAAGGATCTTCATCAGAACCATCAGGACAATTTTTCTGACCATCACACACAGATGTGGAGGGGATACATGCTCCAGTGGCACACCTTACACGACCTCTCCCGCATGGGTGATCAATTGAAACAGCAACTTGGTTCTTTTCTCCAGTTGAGGTAACACATCTTTAAAACCATGAGAAGTCATAAGATCAATGACATATAAGGTCAATGGTCATTGAGATAATGCTTACGTAAATATCATTCCATCATGAATCTCCAAAAGACCATATGGTGCGCTAACTTCGACTCTATTATAACTTGGTCGATCTATTTTGAATCGTGGATCTGTGGATATTGGGGTTTGATTCCTCGAAAGATATACTTCAGGTCTTGAAGCATCCGCAGCAGTACAGGTGAAGGAGAAGGGTTGTCTCGGACGAACACTGATTGATCCAGGCGTGATAGTGAGACCAGGTCTGATCACTGAATGGGAAAAGATTATTGATTAATTATACTTGCCGTATTTGGATAGCTTACCTTCACAGAATCTCTCATCGGAACCATCTCTACAATCTCTTTTGCCATTGCAAACCAGCGAGGTTTGAATACAGATTCCGTCAGCACATTCAAAAGTATTGACTGGACAAGTTTGTTCAATTGCAATGTTGACTGCCTTTTCAATACCCGATTCCAGTGCACACCTACAACCACAAAAAACAATTAACACAACTGCAGAAGTACTGGAAGCGGCATTCGCAGCCATTACTTACCAAACTCTTAGTGAAGTTCTGCCAGGCAAACCATATGGTGCATTGGCCATAATCTCACTTTCTCCAATCGTAGTAACGATGAACCGTTGATCTTGAGCTAAAGCCGATCTGTCCGTATCTTTAACGAATACTGGACGCTGACCCATGACAGCCCGGCATGAAAAAGAGAATGGTTCCCATGGTCTCTTAAGAATCTTTTCAGGAGTTAATGACAATTCTTCTGTAATTTTAGCTAGATGAAAGAAAAAATTATTTAATTTTTAAGTCAGATTCATTGAAAGAATTGTTGCAAAGAAAATTGGAAATTTTCCTCCATGTAATGAAGAAAAAGGAGCAAAAATGTAGATATTTTAACATATAAGCAGAGGGAAAAATAAAATTAGGAATATTTCACTGACATATTTCCAGAGTACCTACTCTCAATAAAAAATTCCTCTCTTCCAAGAGAATTCTAACAGAAATGAAGTGGACTTACGTGGACAAAGTACACGGTTTTCATCTGAACTATCAGCGCAATCAGTCCTTCCATCACAGAAAAGAGAAATTGGTAGACAGACTCCATCACCACACTGATTTTGTCCTGGTGCACAGTTCGACTCCACTGTCACAGTAATGTATTGCCGGGTATCCGGTTCCAGTAAACACCTAAAATTTTAAATGGCCTCATTTCATGTCACATAATAATCGCTACTGGTTAAAAAGTCATTTACCCCCCCC